GGAGAGGGGTGCAACAGTGAATGAATGGAATTCCAAAATCTCTGTAGATGTTCATTGAAATGAAAAATAAAGAAATTAAAAAAAAAAAAAGAAATGTGCCCTGGACTTAGAGGTTCAGGACCATAAATATTCCCAGGAAATGTCTAAGTCAGTTAGCATAACAGTCTATGAAGGCAATGTTCTCTGCCCTCCTTCAGTGAATAATGGCTGGTCCTAAAAGCCGGAGCAGCCAGTTAAGAGGGAGAAAGTCAGAGACCCAAGGAAACACTCCAAAGGACTCATGGGACACTCCAACCACAGCCTCCAAAGGAACACACCAAAACAGCCTCCAGAGGGCTCATGGGACATGCCAACCCAGCCTCCAGAGGACTCATAGGATGCACCAATCACAGCCTCCAGAGGACTAATGGGACTCACCAACCACAGCCTCCAGAGGACTCGTGGGATGTACCAATCACAGCCTCCACTAGCCTGAGACAAGAAGAGCAATATGGTGCCCAGTTCCAACTACTGACCTTTCTGATTGAGCTCACCTTAGAAGGTCCACACAGAATGGGAAATAAATGTAGAAAACTCAAAATTTTTTTCTATAATTTTATTAATTTTCATAAACATTTACAGAGATTTTGGGTTTCCATTCATTCATTGTTGCACTATTCAAAATTATTAAAAAGGCCAGACTTGAGTCCACAGAGTTATCTTCTTCTTTAAATAAATAATATGTCCACTACCATGTTTAAAACATTTCAACAAAAAAAGACCAGACTTACCAATATGATAGTGGCAGGTGGAATCCTTGAGACTATGACCCTTCGTTACCTTCTCAGCCTGGAACTGAACTCAGAGATCATCTTTAAGCCAAACAATAGCCAGGTCTATCAAGTAATAATAACACTTCCTAAAGAGAGTTATATCTTGGTAAAGGTGAAATCAGAGTGCTCCTTGGAGCAAGGATGGCCAAGCTTTGTCTCATATACTTTGGGCATGTTGCTAGGAGGGGCTATTCCTTGGAGAGGAACATCATACTTGGAAAGGAGGAGGGTATGTGAAAGAGAAGAAGACCCTCAGTGGGGTGAACTGACACAGTGACTACAGCAATGAGCTCTAGTGTGTGAGGAGGTGTGAGGATGGCACAGGATAGGATAGGGTTCAGATCTGTTTTCATAGGGTCCCCATGATTTGTACTCAACTCGACATCACTTAGCCACAGTAACATGTATTCCTCCAGAGTATATAACATACATGAGTGCCCATACATGCTCTTCAGAATAATCACCCACAGGAGGCCAAAGAGGCAACATTTGAATTTTTAAAAAAAAGTTAAAAGGGGCCAGGGAAGGGGAGTTCTGGTGGCCTAGTGGCAAGAAGCTGCACTGCAATCCCAGAGATATATGGTTCAAATCCACCAGATGCTCTGCCGGAGAAGGAGGGGCCATCTCCTGTACCAGTCAGATCAGATTTGACGGTGCACACACACAGAAAATAACAAAAATTTTAAAAAAGGAAAAAAAGGGGTAGGGAAGATGGAAATAGAAACAGTGCAGAAGGAGTATTGTTAAGTTATGCAGTTACAATCCATGTCAGGAAACAAAACGATGTATAAATTATTGCCTGAGAAACTAATTTTCTCTAATCTTTCATCCAAACTACAATAAAATATTCCTAAAAAAAAGGATAAACATTTTTTATTTAATTTCTTTATTTTTCATTTCAATGAACATCTACAGAGATTTTGGAATTCCATTCATTCATTGTTGCACCCCTCTCCCCCCCCCCCACCCCCCATCCCCTGTTTGCTCCTCTCCTTCAAATGCAAAAGAAAAACTTCCTCATTGGTATGTAATCCCCCACACACATCCCCCAATCCCCAAATATAATCCACTCTGCAACCCTCATTCCGTACTCTTAGGATAAACATAATGCCCTAAAATATAAAATATTCTCTCCCCCAAAGACTTCAATGTCGTAAACAAATTTCATCCAGTTTTTCTTAGTCTTACGCCCATCCTGATGTCAGCCTCATTCTAAAACAGTGGCACCATATAGCATTTGTCCCTCTGTGACTGAGATACCTCACTCATCATAATGTCCTCCAGGGTCACCCATTTTGAATAATATTGCATGAGTTCCTTGTTTTTCAATGCAGCATAATATTCCATTGTGCAAATATACCACAGCTTCTCTACCCACTCGTTTGTTGATGGGCATTTGGGTTGTTTCCAACTCCTTGCTATTGTAAACAAAGCTGCAATAAACATGGGTGTGCATATATCTGCTTGGATGTCAGCTATGGTCTCTTCAGGGTATATTCCCAGTAGTGGAATTGCTGGGTCAAACGGTATCTCTATTTGCAACTAAAAAAGGATAAATAATAATTAAGGTGTTGGACTTGGTGATAGGCCCTTTGACTTCAACTGAAAACGAAAGACAAATATAACGGTTTTAAATTTTTTTCCCTTAAATAAGAATGCTGGTGTTGGTTGAAAGGGTTGGCTGAAGGATTAAGAGAACTAAGATAAACCATTTGCATAGAATAAACAGCCGAATGTGAAAAAATTTAGAGTTTAATTGGAGCAACTCACAAGCTATTACCAAAAAACAGCTTTTTAAAAAACTAGATGAAGAATTTTCTCCTAAATTAGAGTTCATAGTTGGAATCTACATTTGATGTTTTTTATTCTATTTTTTTATTTGCTTTCCATTTGAGGATTGGTACAAATGACTGAAAGAGGTAGGTTTTATAATATATTCAATTTCAAGGGTTTTTAATTCAGAGAATATAAATTATGATAACACCTCATAAATAATGGAAAGGAAGAACATGACCTAGTTTGAAGGCTATTTATTTGAAAATATGACCATAAACTATCAACGATAAATTGGTAGTTGAAGAAAATGAATTAAGATTAAATGTACTCTTGCAAGAAGAAACAAAGTAAACGTGTAGCTTTTGTTGTTGTTCATTGCTGTCTAGTCAAGTACAACTTATAGGGACACTATGAACAAAACACCTGGAACCTTTCTATAACTGTCCTCATTTATCACAGTTCATAGAGTTTTCAGAGGCATGTTGTGTAGGAAGTGAATGCCACTCCTGCTTCCAAATAGCCAACCATAATGATAACTTTGTAATGTGTGTTAATTCGGATATCTGTCTCTGGAGGAGAACTAGCCAGATAATAATAATAATTTTGAATCCGTTCTCTCCTTTAATTCTTATAGAAACTAAGAGAAAAGATAACATTCGAAATTATAATGCAGAAAATATTTGTCTAACAGCTAACTGATTAGCTTATTAATATTTAATAATACTTTGGGTCTGTTTTTAGACTGTTCTGAAAATCTACTAGCCATGTATGTAAGTTTTTGTTTGTAATCTGTTTAGCTGCAGAAGATCATAAGTAAACAAGATGACTCGAGGACAGCTACACCTGATGAAGCAGAATGCCAGGTATGTGCAAAGAAATATTTACAAGCAGAATATTATTACTGCTCTTTTCTGCTTGTTCAAACAGGTATTCCTAGATAGTTAATGAGATTAGTTAGTAATTTCATTTTTTAATATTTTAAATAAATGTGCCACATGCACATTGTTCATACTTCAAAGGATACACTAGAATATAGAGAGTAGTTTTCCTCAGAGCCACATCATTTTTCTCCCTAAGTAATAAACACTCTCATTGCCCTGCGTGTCCTTCCAGGTGGACCTGGACATAGCTGAAAACCTAACACTGCAATTTTTTTGTTTGGTTTGGTTTTTTACAAAAGCATCAAAAATCTTTCCTTTTCATTTTTTTCCATTGTTACACATTTTCTTCCCCCTTTCTTTCCTCCTCCCCAACCCCTCTTCACAATGCATCCCATGTTCCAGATTGTTATCATACATATACTTCCTTATCATATATTCCTTTCAGACAGTTCTTCCCTCATCTGATCTAATAGTGTTCATTGTCTATCCACTCCTTTGCCATTCTCTCCCCATCACCCCCACCAATCTGTTCTTTTTTTATAATAACAGTGTTGTGCAGTACTTGTCCTTTTGTGACTGAGATATTTCACTCAGCATTATGTCCTCCAGACTCCCCCATGTTGAGTAATGTTTTACAAGTTCATTTTTCCCCACTGCTGCATTTTATTCTGTTGTGTGAAGGTACCATAGTTTTTTCTATCCATTCATTTGTTTATGGTCACTTGAGTTGCTTCCATCTCTTTGCCAGTGTAAATAATGCAGCAGTAAACATGGGTGTGCATCCATCTGTTAGAGTGGTGGCTCTAGTTTCTTTAGGGTATATTCCCAGTAGTGGAATTTCTGGGTCAAATGGTATTTCTATTCCCAACTTTTTGAGGAAGCACTAGACTACCTTCCATAGTGGTGGTATCATTGTACATTCGCACCAACTGTGAATAAGATTTCCAATCTCTCCACAACCTCTCCAGCATATGTTGTTTGCTGCCCTGTCAAGACTTACTGCAAGCTATTGTAGTGATATCTTGTGATATTGACATATAGACAGACTAATACATCAGTAAACTAGAATAAATTATCCCACGCGCACTGTCAATTTTCAATAAAGTCCTCAAATCAGTTAATAGAGAAACATCTTTCAGCTATATTTCGGGTTTTGTTTGGGTTTGTTTTTCTTAAGGTCTTTCAATAATACATAGTGGTAGTGTTGGTGTATCATCAAGTCAGAAGCAGCTCACATCTGACCCTCCAGAGAATTTTCTAAGGCAGTAAATTGTGCAGGAGGAGATTACCATCTTTTTCACCTCAGAGAACCTAGTGAGTTTGAACCACATACCTTTGTGTTGGCAGTGCAGCTCCTTACTACAAAGCCATCAAAGCTCCTGTTATGTAAATAAATGTCTGTATTTTGCCTTTTAATGCAAATAGTAGCATATTAACATTGTTCCACTCTTTTCATGTTCTTGTTATGTTCCATAGAGTAGGAACCGACTCACAGCTGATCCTCCACTGGGTTTTCTGTAAATCACGTGGGAGGAAGTGGGTCATCTTTCTCCTGCAGAGCAGCTGGTGGATTAGAACCATGTGCCTTTGGATTGACAGCACAACTCCTTACCTCTAAATCATCTTTTTAATGACTGCATAGTACTATGTTATGTGGCCATGCCAATTTTTTAACCGCTTCCATTTAGAAGACCCTTTCACTATTACAAATACTGTTGCAGTGATTTTATGTTTTAAAGAGTGACTACTTCAAATTTTGCAAATCTGAAACATGGGCATGCTTAATCTATACAGGTGGGTGTGTAAATTGCTAGGATTTTTCCTGAAAATGCATTTGAATTTACATTTATAGCAATGATCTTATAGCCAAATTTAGTTGTGCTTAAATTCACATTTTTTTAAAATTTCCTCTGTGTGTGTGTGTCTGACTTTGAGAAGAATGGGAATCCCAGAACACTTGATCGTGCTAATGAGAAACCTATACTTGGACCAGGAGGCAGTTGTCAGAACAGAGCAAGGAAACACTACATGGTTCAAAATTGGGAAGGGCGTACGCCAGGGATGCATCCTATCTCCATACCTTTTCAACCTGTATGTAGAACAGTTTATCCAGGAGGCTAGGCTGTATGAGGAGGAATGAGGGGTCAAGATTGGTGGAAGATCTATCAACAATCTGTGATATGCAGATGACACAACCCTGCTTGCTGAAAGTGAGGAGGACCTGAAGCACTTGCTGCAGAGAATAAAGGACTGCAGCCTCCAATATGGATTGAGGTTCAATGTCAAGAAGACAAAGATTCTCACCACTGGGCCAGTTGGCAGCATCAGGACCGATGGTGAAGAGATTGAGATTGTTCACAGCTTTAGTTTGCTTGGTTCCACAGTCAACACTCTTGGCACCAGTAGCCAGGAAATTAAAAGACATATTGCGATGGGAAAGTCTGCTGTTAGGGACCTCTCCAAAGTACTGAAGAGCAATGGTATCTCTCTGGAGACTAAGGTTGTATGATACAGACCATGGTCTTTGCTATCACTTGTTATGCATCAGAGAGTTGGACAGTGACTAAGGAGGATAGGAGAATTCATGCCTTTGAGCTGTGGTGCTGGAGAAGAGTATTGAGGGTACCATGGACTGTTAGGAAAACAAACAGATTCATCCTGGAAAGGGTTAAACCGGTGGCTCCTTGGAAGCAAGGATTCTGAGGCTCCATCTATCATACTTTGGACATGTTGTAAGGAGGGACCAGTCCTTGGAGAGGGACATCATGCTTGGTAGGGTGGAGGGATGGTGCAGGAGGGGGAGACCCTCTATAAGCTAGATTGATTCAGTGACTGGGGTAATCGGGATGGGTGTATCGGAAACGGTGCGATTGGCACAGGACAGGGAAGAGTTTAGGGCTACGAGTCGCAAGCAACTCAACAGCACATAACAACAACAACATTTTAACAAAAGTTTACAGAAGACCTGGATTTCCATTCATTCATTGTTGAACATTTTCCTCCCTATTGCCCCCTACCCAGTTTGCTCTTCTCTTTAAAAGGACTCTTTCATTGTTGCACAATTTTCTCCCACCCTGCCCCAGTCCACTTTGCTACGCACCTCTTATTCTGGATTATTATCATGCAAATAATACCTAATTATATATTTCTTTTAGACAGTTCTTTCCCTCATAGATTTAAATGCAGTGTTCATTATTTACCCCCTCTTTTTTAGTTTCCCCCAACCCCCATGTCAGTCCTGTTTTATAACAGTAGCCTTATGCAGTATTTGTTCTTTTGTGACTAAGATATTTTACTCAGCATAACGTCCTCTAAGGTCACCCATTTTGTATAATAATTTATGAGTTCCTTGTTTTTCAGTGCTGTATAATATTTCATTTTGTGAATATACCACAGCTTTCCTATCCATTCATTTGTTGATGGGCACTTGAGTTGCTTCCATCTTTTTGCTATTGGGAACAATGCAGCAATAAACATGGGTGTGCATATATCTACTTGGGTGGCAGTTCTAGTTTCTTTAGGGTATATTCCCAGTAGTACAATTGCTGGGTCAAATGGTATTTCTATTTCCAGCTTTTTGAGAAATCCAGAGTGGTTGCACTATTTTACACCCTCACCAACAGTGAATAAGGGTTCCAGTTTCTCCACAACCTCGCCAGCATTTGTTGTTTGCTGCTCTGTTGAACTTTGTTATTGTTACTAGAATGAGATGATATCTCATAGTTGTTTTTTCCTTTCTCTCCCATCCACACCGTTGATGGTGTTCCCTTTTCTTCAGTGTATATATCATAACATTCATCTCATGTTAATTTTTTACTTGGGTGTTGTCCTCTGGGATAGTAAGCATCATGCATCTTTAAGATTGTGCGACGTTTCTGACATCAACTGAGAATTCAAAGATTCCCAAGACTTCCTTTATTTGGGTCAGCACTGAAAGTTTCAGGGTCACCAAGATCTCTCTCAGGCTCAGTAATGTTCCTGAACTCAGCTATGGCACTTACTCACAGTTAGGGGTTATTGTAGGGAAAGGATACAGGTTAATACCAACTAAAGGAATTGTTGCCTGGGGCTGACTCAGGAAGGGTCACTGGTGGGACTCCCACTTGTCCTCTGCGACCTGACAAGGATGTGGAGTGTGCTGCTCCTGGGAGCTCACCAGGGCCTTAGTGCCCAGTGCTGGATCGGAGCTTGCTAACATACAATTGCAGATCCACCTGATCCCACATGCATGTATATGATTAAATACAGTGTTGCAGGAATACCCCTTTTTTGTCTTACACTCCAGTTTATCAAGCATTGCAAATAGTTGCTTTTTTTAATTTTACAAATTGGGGTTTATAAAAGATTTATAAGCATGGGAGAGGCTAGAGAGCATTTTGCTGAGTGAAGTAACTCAGTGTGCTAAGGACAAATACTGCATAAGACCATTATTGTAAAGGTAGAAAGATAACTAACTAGTCAGATGTGGATGGAATTCCTAAGGGGCAAAGAGAGGGGGCTAAAGGTGGAAAGGAGAAGAAATCATGAGTCACAGAGTTTGGTGGGTGGAGGGAGGGGGTGATAGAATTAGGATAGATCTAGTGAGGACCTGAAAAGATGAGGTGATAGTAGGAATAGCTCAGTGGTGATTAATTTTATAAAGCACAATGTATGAGAATGATCATGTGAAGTACAATATGAATGAAGGAATGTGTGAAACACAACATACATGAATGAAACACAATGTATTTGAATTTTGTATGTAAGCCAATATAAAATGAACAAAAAAGGACTGATAAGCCTTTGTTTCTCTGAGGTGTGAAGGAGTGGCACTTTTTTAATGAGGGTGGTGCAGACATATATCGCAAAAAAAAATTTAAATGCAAATACCCTTTGACCTGGTAACTCCACTTCTAGGAATTTATATATGAGGTATTAAGTGCTTCAACAGAAATATATGCCAGTGTTTCAGAGAGCAATGTCATAGGAAGATGCTTGGAAACAAATGTATATCAGCAGGAAATTACCTAATTCTGTGATGGCAGGAAGTCTTGGCTGGCTCTCATGTCAGATGAGGAAGTTCCTTTCTGTTTAAAATGTGGAAGGAGCTCTGCTGGGACATTGTTAAGCAGTTGGCTGCTGACGGAAAGACCGAAGTGTGAACCCATCAGGCACTCTGTAGGAGAAAGACATGGCAGTCAAACACAAAACACATACCATACCAAAAGAATACAAACTGCCTGCTGCCAAGTTGGTTCCACCCTGGTGACTGAACTCCTGTGCATCTACCCCAGAGAAAGGAAAACGTTTTTTCACACAAAAACCACTGCATGAGTATTTATAGCAGCTTTAATTGTAATCTGTTGGTAGCTGATCTTTAACAAAGAGGTGATCCATTATATAGGGAAAAAACAGCCTCTTTAACAAAGGTGCTTAAAAAAACAACTATTTCTAGAAAATTAAAACAAGGTCCATACCACACACCATGTACAAAGAATGAGTCAAGGGCCTAGGCATAAAACTTAAAGTTATAATGATCATCCAAGGAATGTTGTTGTTGTTATTGTTGTTATTGTTGTTGTTTGCTGTAGAGTCAGAACTGACTCTTAGCTGACCCTCCAGCGGGTTTTCAGAGGCAGTAATTGCAGGGGAGGAGATGGCCCATCCTTCTGCAGAGGAGCTGGCAGATTCAAACCAAGTGCCTTTGAGATTGCAGCAAAATTCTTACCACTGGGTCACCAGAGCTCCCTCGTCAGAGGAATAATAGGAGCGAATTTAGGAGCTCTCCTCATAGCCAAAAATAACGATCGGCACAGACTCGGTTAGGTGATTGGGACCCTTTTAAAGTTAAATTTTTATGTACACCATGAGGTTTCTCTAAAAGAATAAAAAGAGAAGTTATGCACAAGGAAAAAAATATTTGCCAACCACTTATCCAGTGGGGAGCATTAACACTTCAATAAGAAAAGGGCAAACAACCCAATTACCAAATAGGCCAAGAGTGAAAATATACTTCGCTGAAGAAGACGCTCACACGACCAACAAATATATGAAAAGATGCTCAGGATCATCATTATTTACACTCAGTCGCGGCTGTTGAGGTGATTCTGACTCTTAATAACCCGTCATAAAGGGTCTAAATCTGTAAGTGGTGAGGGGATAGACTCACATCTCTCTCTCATGGAGACACTGGTGGATTTGAACTGCTGCAGAATCATTTGGAGAAACTAAGCCTTTGAACAGCACAGCTTGCTACAGACTATGCAGCCAGAGCTCCCCTTTGCTGCTGCTGCTGTTGTTGTTGTTGTTGTTGTATACCTTCAAGTTGGAACCAGCCCATAGCTGAGCCTCCAACAGGTTTTCAAAGGCACTGGAGGTTGCTAATCATTCTCTGGATCAGCTAGTGAATTCAAACTGCGCACCTTGGCTGCTCAGCTCTTTATCGCTAAGCCACCAGAGCTCCCTCATTGTTGTTGTTAATACGACCCATAACGACCCTATGAACAAAAGATCTGAACCCTACCCTGTCCTGTGCTGTCCTCACACTTCCTGACACACTGGATCCCATTGCTGCAGTCACTGTGTCAGTCCACCTGGTCGAGGGTCCTCCACCCTTCCTAGCATCATGTCCCTTTCCAAGGAATAGCCCCTCTTAGCGACATGCTCAAAGTATGTGAGGTGAAGTTCCAAAATCTTTGCCTCCAAAGAGCACTCACTCCAGCTGTACCCTCTCCAAGATGTACTCATTTGTTCTTCCACCTCTTCTCCAACACGACAGCTCAAAGGCATCAATTCTTCTTCTGTCATCCTTATTCACTGTCCAGCTCTCAGATGTATAGCAAGTGATCAGAAAGACTATAGACTGAATCAGATGCACCTTAGGCCTCAAACTGACATCATTACTTCTCAATAATTTGGAGAGGTTCCCTAACTGCAGCGTTCCCCAGTGCAGTCAGTGCATCTCCTTATTTCCTGATTACTGGTACTAAGGGTGTTAATTGTGGATCCAAAAAAGATGAAGTTCTTGGCAATTTCAATCTCTTCTCCGTCCATCATGATGTTCCCTATTTAGTCCAGTGGTAAGAATCTTTGTTTTTATTGTTAGATGCCATCAAGTCAAGTACAATTCACAGTGACACTGTGAACAAGAAACCCTGTGCTATCCTTATCGTCTTTGACATAGTCGAGCCCATTGCTGCAGTCACTGTGTCAGTTTGTCTTTCTCAGGGTCTTCCTCCTTTTGCTGACCCTCCCTCTACCTTTCCAAAGCATGATGTCCCATTATAAGGAATAACCTCTCTTAACAACATGTCCATCATATATGACATGAAGCTTCACCATCCTTGCCTCTAAGGAGCACTCTGGCTGCACTTTTTCTAAAGCTTATCTCTATTCTTTTGGCATTTAGTGGGACATTTGGTATTCTTATCCAACACCACAGTGCAAAGGCATAAATTCTTCTGTCATCCTTTTTCATTATCTAGCTCTCAGATGCATAGCAAGTGATTGAAAACACCACGGCTTGAATCAGGCTCACCTTGGTCTTTAAACTAGCATTATTGATCTTCAGTACTTTGGAGAGGTCCCTGACAGCAGAATTCCCAGTGCAGTGCATCTCCTGGTCTCCGGACTGCTGGTACCAAGGGTGTTGATTGTGGAAGTAGGTTGAAATCACTGAAAAAATCAGTCTTCTCCATCTGTCATGATGTTTCTTGTTGGCCCAGTAGTGAGGATTTTTTTCCTTCTGATTTTGAGTTGCAATTCATACTGAAGGTTGAAGTATTTGATCTTCTGAAGTAGGTGTTTCAGGTACTCCTCACTTTGAGCAAGCAAGGCTGTGTCACCTACATAATACAGGTTGTTGATAAGTCTCCTTCCAATCTTATGCCATATTCTTCTTCACAGAGTCCACCTTCTTAAATGATTTGCTTAGCATATAAACTGAAGAGATATGGAGAAAGGATACAGCCCTGATATGCACCTTTCTTGATTTTAAACCGTGCAGTGTTACCTTGCTTTGTTCAGGCAATAGTTTCCTAGTCTAGGATGAGTTTCACATGAGCACAGTTAAGTGTTCTGGGATTATCTCACCCCAGCAACAGTAGTTCAGTAACACGGCAAACAACAAATGCTGCTAAGAGTGTGGAAAATTTCAAATTCTCATACTTTGTAGATGGGAATGAAAAACAGTACAACCACATGGAAAGAAGTTTAGTGTTTCTTTAAAAGTTTGAAAATGGAAATACCATTTGATCCAGCAATCTTGCTACTAAGGCAATCAGAGCTGCAACATGGACTGATGTGTGCACTCGTTGTAATTGCAGCATGGTTTACAGTAGCAAAGAGATGGAAACAGCTCAAGTAAATACCCATCAACTGATGAATGGTTAAGGAAACTATGGTACATTCCTACCATGGAACATTACACAACACTAAAGAACAATTAACGATTCATGAAATACTGCTTTACATGGATGAATCTAGAGGACATTGTGCTGAGTGAAGCAAGTCCATCACAAAAGGACCGCAGTGCGTGCACATGGCCTTGAGCCAGCGCCACAGGATCCACTATAGGAGTGTGTGGGGCAGCTGACAGGGCTGGCACGGGGAGAGAAGGGAAGGGATCCCACCCACCCCATCCCATGCCAGTCTTTTCTGGTTAGTGAGGGGAGTGATATTTATGAGATCATGACATAGACACAGTTAGACATTGTCCAGACAGATGTGTGGTGCAGACCTGTGTGCATGAAACAAAAAGGTAGTCATTTTACCCAGTTTTAAATGTACAATAATTCCATGATACTAACTGCGTTCACCATGTGGGACTAATATCACCACTCTCTGTAAGCTTTTCCCTTGGCACAAGGATAAAAATAAGAGAACTGGAGAACTTAAGGAAGATCTGGAGAGGCTGAGATCTCTATTTCTGTCTTTTGTCTGATCTACCTTCTTTGCTGCGGTGTCTTTACTGACAAGTCCTGCTCTCTTTTCCTCACATCATGCTCATGCTGCCTAAACCTCCCCTTTGCTCTGGCAAGGCGCCAGGGACATTTTCCTTAATGGTGAAGTATTACATTATGACCCTCTTTTCTGGAGACTGAAGGGGTGCAGGTGGGAAGGGAAATTGACTGGACTGACTGCATTCCATCTCTGTCTCCTCCTCCATTCTATCCCCAATTCCTCTGCTCCCAAACACATACACAAAGCCCTTTCTACTCCCTGCCACCTCTGGTCAGTCCCACCAGGGCTGTGAGTCCCAGGGCTTTGTTCCCTTCTCACTCTGTTAACCTGCTGTTGACCAAACTGAATGTTTTAATGAGATTCTCATAATACAGTAACTCACCTCCTGCTGTTTCTGAAAAGCAGGGTTGAAGGCTGCACTTAAAAGCCTACTGGACCATCTTTCACCTGAACCTGCTGTTTTTCAGAACCTTTCCCTTAAACTTGTGCTTCTTGAGTGCGTGATTATTGCTGGTAACTGATTTTTTTTTATAGTGTTGTTTGTTTTGCCACTTTTTTTGTTGTTTATTTTATTAAAGAAAAGGAGGGAGGAGGAGAACCTGTGAGATATACAGTACAATTATATTATAGTTAGGTAAGGCAAATGCATTTCAGGTACCACTACATTTTAGTAAAAGTGAGAAGATTGTCCTGATATATGTCTCAGAAGAGTGAGTCATTAGAATGTGCCTGGGGTCATACTTAGACACTATTATTTTTTTAATTGTTCTAAGAGTTTGCTTACTGCTGAGTTCTATCTTGAGTATTTTAGCCTTGGCTCTTTTTCTTCTACAGAAGTAAAGAATAGCCGGAGAAAACATTACAGTCACTCTCTCATTTTGTATATATGCTGCAAGAAGCATATGTGAACGTTGTCCTGAAATTTCCAGTCTACGTGATCCACTTTTTCTTTATAATTATCTTAAGTTATTGTTGGTATTTTATAGGAGCCAAAAATGAAAGAATCTGAAGTTAACACAACTCTTCAGATACGATTCTTTGGGAAAAGAGGAGAAAGGAAACTTCATTACAAAGACTTTCGAAGGTAAATTACAGTATTTGTAATTATTTAGGGAAATACTGTAAGTCACAACTTAAAAAGCAGATTAATATATTCATTTCCCAGAGCTATAGACCATGTGTGTGGGTGTGTGTGCCGTTGAGTCAGAACTGACTTGTAGCTGATGACCCTCCAGCTCATTTTCAGAAGCTGTAAGTCACACAGGAGGAGATTACTCATCTTTCTCTCAAGGAGCTGCTGATGGATTCAAACCGCTTGCCTTTGTATTGGCAGCCCAGCCCTTTACCACTAAGCTACCATGTAATTAAATATTATTTGTGGGTCTGCTTAGTGTTAGTCTCTGGGGGGAAAAAACCCTATAAATTAAAATGGCTTTATCGCACAGGAAATTATCATCTCTAATGCATGTTGGAACCGACTCATAGCTGACCCTCCCATTTTACTCCCAGGAAATGCTTCAAACTGTCAGAGGGGCACCACCATTAAGTTAACAGTGCTATAGACTACACCCATATAGAAACCAGGCATGATGAACAGTTACCAGGATTGGGAAGGGCGGGGTGGGGGGTTTGCTTTGGGGACATCACATTTATGCACGTGGTGGTGGAGTGAGGGTAAGAATAGTGAGGACAGTGACACAACTAGAAAAATGTCCCCATCATCCCTGGGTTGTGAATGTACAGTTTGTTGGGTTGGCAGTCTTTTGTTTGTGTGTTTTCATTACAGTTTTAAAAAGAGGAAAGCCTGACCTGGACTTCTAGCCTGAGCCCCTTCCATTTTGTAGGCCCTTTTGTTCATGTGATTTACAGGCAGCACAGAATCACCAACACAGCATACTTTAACATGGCCAACCTGCAGGCTTTGAATTAACTTGTGGTGTCCCAAAGCTCTTCTGAGCTGAATTAGAGCGTTAAAAACACAGGTTATTCAAATTGTTTCTCAGGAAGACCAGAGCAGGTCATGAAAGGATAGGGGAAAGTTATATGCATTAACCAGGACTTAATTTGGAATAGTGTGACAGAACTCTGTGTGCTGGGAAACCAGTGATAGAAAAATTCTATTTTATGAACTGTGTCACTTTAAGCAGTAGCTTCAGACAGCTTGTGATATGAGGAGAAACAAGGGAGTCTTGGGCCCTGCAAGTAACCTGTCAATTCAGAGAGCAGAGCTACCTTTCAGAAAGAAAGGGGCCCTGGTAGGTTAGTCATAGGTTAAGTGTTAGGCTGGGAAATGAAAGTTTAGTGGTTCAAACCCACTAGCTACGCCTCCAATGGAAGGTCACCAGGAGTCGGAATCAACTAGATGGCAGGGGGTCAGGTGTATGTAACCAAATAGATGGGGGTTTGTCACGTTCATGCGGGAGACAGCATTAAAAGCTGCCATTCTGAAATACTAAGTTTCTGCTCCACACTGCTGGCTGCAGCTTCCCCTTGGTGGAGTTAATGCCAGGCCAGCCCCACATCTCTGCAGTTCTCCTTCACGTGAGCTGCACCATTCCTATTAGGTTTAGATGGAGACAGAGAGACACACACATCTCAGTGGTAGGATTTTCTTGAATGAATCATGAAATTAAAATCAAAATATAAGATCACTGTAATTATTCTGATGTCTTCACAGTATCAACGTTTCAATACTACCATGTCACTTATATCAATTTTGTGCTTTTGACATTTAGATTTATGGAAAATCTGCAAATTGAGGTCCAAGAGATGGAGTTCCTTCAATTTTCCAGAGGTTTAAGCTTCATGAGGAAAGAAGACTTTGCTGAATGGCTCCTTTTTTTCACTAATGCTGGAAATAAAGACATTTACTGGAAAAATGTGAGGGAGAAGCTGTCTGCAGGCGAGGTTAGTGGTGGTGGTGGTGGTGGTGGTGGTGTTGATTGCCTTTGAGTCGAGCACAACTCATAGTGACCTATGAACAAAAGGTCTGAAGCCCACTGCAACTATCGACATTTATCAAAGTTCATAGTTTCCTGAGACATGTTGTTTAGGAAGCAGATACCACACCTGCTTAGTGATACTTTTACCATGTATAAAATAAAGATGAACTAAGCAGTTAGACACATATTACTGAAATGACATCCACATTAACCCAGCTGGTGCTTCTTGTATCTAGTACGAAACTGCTGCCTGCCAGTGAACCACAGCCTGAGAAGGAGTCAGTGTAACAGCCACTTCTTATATTTCCAGTAGAATGTGAAATAAGAATGTCCACTACCAGGATGTAATCATAAGGTCACACAATTTGATGAGTAAAGGAAAGAGTGAGTAAAGGAAATGGGAAAGATCCAGTGTGAAAAATAAGTTATACAGACCAGGATAAAATAAAAAATTTATTTAAAAAAAAATAATAATAAGCATGGCTATATGGCATTTAAAGAGAGCTTTGGTGGCCTAGCAGCAAGATGCTGTGCTATAATCCCAAAGGCACGCAGTTCGAGGCCTCCAGCAGCTTGATGGAAGAGGGATGAACAGTCTCCTCCCGTACAATTAACTGCCTCTGAAAACCCGCTGGAGGGTCAGCTGTCGGTCGGTTCCGACTCTGTGGTACACCACCACCACCACCACAACATAGGACATTTAAAAAGAAAAAAAAAATGACCACTCCCATCACTGTGATCTAATACTGTTCTAGAAGTCTTAGTCAATGAAGATTAGTAAAATGAAAGATGAAAATTAGAGAGAGACATTAACTGTCCCATATACAAATGGCAAGTTAGAAAATGCATATGTGTATCTTAGGTGAATAAAAGAATAATCACAAAAATATTAATAATACTTACTGTAGTTGTGATATTTTATTCCATTTTCACTTTCTTGTTTTATTTCTTGATGCACTATGATTGTATTATGTGCCATCAAGTCAGAACCAACTCCTAGCTGACCCTCTGGCATGATTTCAGAGGCTATAAATAGCACAGGAAGAGATGGCCCAGCTTTCTCGAGCAGAGCAACTGGTGAATTCGAACTACCTGCCTTTGAGTTGGCAGCACAACTCCTTCCCACTAGGCCATCAGATCTCCTTTTTATGTATTAGACCTAGTTAATTTATTTATTTTGTAATATTCTCAAAACAACTCATTGCCATCATTTGGGGATCAAAACTCCAAGCAGACCCTCAAGCTGCTTTTTGAGGGCTATAAATTATACAGGAGATTGCCTGTCTTTCCCATGAGGAATGGGGCCGAGGGGGTGTGTCAGGCCTCCAGAGAGATGTGTGGTCCTTGGCTCAGTCCCTACAAACTGCACCACCACAGCACCCTTACTTTATGACGAGCTTGTATTTTCTTTATATCTCCTTTAAAAGATACTCCTCTTGTGAGGAAAAGCATAATTAAATCACAATGGGTGATCTCATTTATAGTCACAGTAGAAATACATAGCCATTAAAAAGAAATCTAAGAAGGAAAAGAGCTAAAAAGAAATGTATAAAGAAAACTTTACAATTCTGATGAATATAAAAATTACCTAACTATAGACCCACTAGAAAATACGTAGATAGGAACTCTTAGTCTTACAAAATACCACATAAGTTGCTTAAATTAGTCAATAAATGTAATTGTTACAGAATAGCCTAGGTTGTTGCAATTATAAGTTCACTCTGAAATCACTACAGTTTAACACAACACAGATTTATTTCTTAAGCATGCTGCTGTCCACGGTGGCCTGATCCCACTGGTCCTCTGGGTAGGACTCTGTCATCTTGTAGTTTGACCATCTAACAAAGCCTCCAGTGCTGTGACAGGAAGAGAAAGGTGCAGTGCGGGTCATAGTGCAGCAGTTAAATGTAACATGCAAGTATCACATGATGTTCAGCCATTGGCCAAATAAGTCACATGACCCCATCCATCTGCACTTACTAAATATACTATACTTTCATTTGTGCAGGCATAAGAAGAGGAGCAGATACTGGTGAACATTAATAGACTGAGTGAAAGTACTACCGAATTCTTGAGAGGGAGCTAGATAAACTATACAAAATTTATATGCAAAGAATTCCCGGATGTTAAAATATTTTCAAACCTGAGTAATTAAGAATTTGTTCCTGACAGTGAATTTGACGAATTACTTAAACAAAATAGAGTCCAGAAATAGACACATATATGCATGGGACTTTAGTGTATGTAGTTAATTGTAATTCATCTGCATAGTACAGGTTGTTGATGAGTCTCCCACCAATCTTGATCCCACATTCTTCATAAAGTTCAGCTTCTCAAGTGATTCGCTCAGCATGCAGATTGAATAGGTATGGCGGAAAAGGATAGAGCCCTGACCCTACACCTCTCTTGATTTTAAACCATGCGGTGTTCCCTTGCTCTCTTAGAACAGGAGCGTCCTTTTTTTTTTTTTTAATTGGTTTGCTTAATGAGACAACACTTAATTACCATTGCTCTTCAATACTTTGGAGAGATACATAACAGGAGAATTTCCCATTATACGTCTTTTCATTTCCTGGCTGCTGGAGCCAAAAGTGTTGACTGTGGAGCCAAGCAGACTAAAGTTGTTAAAAAATCTCAATCTCCTCACCATCCATCCTGATGTTGCCAATTGGTCCAGTGGTGAGAATATTTGTCTTCTTGATATTGAGCCTCAATCAATACTGAAGGCTGCAGTCCTTGACCCTCTGTAGCAAGTGCTTCAGGTCCTCCTCAGTTTCAGCACGCAGTGTTGTGTCATCTGCATAACGCAGATTTTGATAGATCTTCCCTCAATCCTGATGCCACACTTCTCCTCATAGAGCCCAGCCTCCCAGATAATCTGTTCTGCATACAGGTTGAAAAGGTATGGAGATAGGACACATCCCTGCTGTACACCTTTCCCAATTTTGAACCATGCAATATTTCCTTGCTCTGTCCTCACAACTGCCTCTTGGTCCAAGTATAGGTTTCACATTAGAACAATCAAGTGTTCTGGGATTTAGAGTTACTAAAATGACAGTTTGTTGTGTCTGTAGAGAACATTGTTCTAAGTGGTGCAACACCTGTCTGTCAGTTTGCTGTACTGCGATAACGTGAGGGTTGCTGTGATGTTGAAATCTGTGCCCTGGTGTGTCAAATGCCATAAATGTTACCCATGGTGGAC